GGAAGGCACAATTTCACGTTGTTCCTTTTATTTCCAAATTCAGATTGCAGGAAAATACATTGGTTATTGATCTTTTTACTCCCAGGGACTGTTACTACCTTCTTGTTTGTCTCATTTTGTATCCTGAGAACTCGGGTTGGCAACTGTTAGGTTGGGGACCCCAGATATGGCTGGAAAGAAATGTGGATCGAACTTCATTTGTGGCTAGGTCCTACTGACTGTTATCAGCTTTCAGGGGGAATTGTCTAAGTCTTTCTTTTTGTTATCTTTGGGAGTGACTCTAGATCTTGAAAGTGTAATATCTTTTGAACACTTTTTTGGGAACTTTTTTTGTGTCCATGAGGTTGTTCAATACCACCAGGAATATCTACTGTTTGTCCTGGCTGAAACCTCACAAGATATTCTAAAGGATTTTTGTAAAGTAGCTCTATGGTCAGAAGTTGGACAAGTTGAAAGCCGATATTCAGGACATGATAGAAAATTTTTTTTTAGACTTTCTCCCCTAAGCCAAAACAAAACTATGTACCTAGAGGGAAAGAAAAACATTCTGAAGCAATTGTGGAAGGATTTACTAAAATGTTTCAATGAAACACAGCTCTAAATCTACGACATAGAAATCTTTTGATTTCCAATCTTCTGATTTCCATCTTAATTGAAGATCTTCTCTCTGATATATAGAAGTAAACTGAGGATAATGTAGTTGGATGGCTTAATAGTCATTCAGGTTGCAACCCACTTTTTTGAGGAATTAAAAGCAACTGTTTTATAAATTGAATCTTTACAAGAAGAGAAATGCGACTCTAGAAACAATTCAAAGCTCATCTATCTTTTTTTACCAATTCCCAAATCTTGAGTTGTTAGAAACTATGCTTGTGTTTGGTCAAGTCTCTTAGTGTATGTATGTGGAGGTAGGTGGGTAAAATTATTTGTGCTGAGTCTAGTTTTTACAGGACAAGGTTGCAGCCTAGTTGAGAAGAAGGCTTAGAGGGGTCTGACTAGAATTTTGCTAAGGAGAGAGTTTTTGCCACCTCTCCCATTGAGTCATGTCAATGTTCTAGAAACACAAATACCAAAGTATCAGGCATCAAACCATCGGGGAGATGGGGAGGAGTCATCTGTATCCATCTTACTGCCACTCTGAATATTCTTGGTATCAGTGTGACCCTTCAGCAGCAATGGCTCTTTGTTGCTCGTTGCCACAGTCAACACATAGGAATGTTCTTCAAAGCAGGAAATCTCAGTGGCCATTGACTCACCCCCCTAGCCACAACTAGAAATCAATCCTGGAATATTGCCATGGAGCAGATCTGACTCCTGCAGACCTGCCCCAGCATGAGGGTTTTCTCTCTTTTAGTTTAGAGACAAACTCCTCTGTCTAATATGTTTTTTAAAGCCTCTATGCCTTTTTTCATAAAACTCTCTCCTCCTCAATGAGTTTAGGATTTTGAAGATGTAATTCAAGAAGTTTTTCATGCTACTTTTATTTCTGCTCAGTCATATATTTCCCTGAGGGATTGAAATGCAGAGCCTGCTCTTGAAATGACCAGGGGAAAGGGAAAAATTCAGAGAGAGAAAAACAGGAATGAATATCTTAGAATATTTTCCAGGCACACATACCAGCTGTCATGGAAAAGATGAACCAAGGTTTAAAAGTTCACCATTGGACATGATAGAGTATAAGAAGGCTCAGTTTTGTGGCATCGATAATTCACTTAGGTGAGTGTAATGAGAAACACATTGGGCTGAGTCGGAAGATCATTATTCTGGTTTCTTTCTTGCCCAGTATCACCTGACTGCAAATTCCTTATCTGTGAAATTAGTGTGTTGGTTAGTTATCTCTTCCAGCAGTCATATTTTTAACATATCCAACTAGCACATAAATTACAGATTAGTTAGCACCTAAACAGTGCTGCTGACTGATTTTCATTTATCTAGAGAGGAGCTTACTTTATGCCCACTACCATACAATATAGTCGTCAATCAATTCCAAAAAGATCAGTTACTAATGTCAGTGATTACCCTTTTCTAATTAAATTTTTGGCTTTCATCATATAATACAGATATTTTAATTTCTGACATAATTGGGATATCATCTTGCCTCTAGAAAAAGTAAAGGACATTTGTTTTTTTCCTTTACCACAGTTCCTTCTCTCTGTGTGTTATGCAACGTGAACAGTCTAAGAGGTCTTCTATTGCAAAGGTCCCCAACCTACCTGTCCGCTGCCTCTTAGGAACTGGCCACACAGCAAGAGGTGAGCAGCAGGTGAGCAAGCAAAGCTTCATCTGTATTTGCAGCTGCTCCCTCACACTAGCATCACTGCCTCAGATCATTAGATTCTCATAGGTGCACCGGTCTCTGGTGCCAAAAAGGTTGGGGACCACTGTTCTATTATGCTAAAAGATTTCATTCTTTTTACATTCCCCCTGCCCCACTTTCTTTCACTTGGCACTTTGTAGAGTACTGATTCCCCAAAGCTGTTTATAATGTAGAAGATTCATATATTTCATAGGTGTGTTCCTCCTTTTTCTCCCCAAGTTGCCTATGAATATTGGCATCTGATGTAATTTATTATAAGCAAATGAATGTCAGAGTCCCATGCTGACTTCTCTCACCTTCTCTTGTGGCCCCCTCACGATGTGCAGTTTGCGTGTTTTGTGGACTATGTCTTACTCAAGGCCAGATGTTCCTGGCTGAGCTTCAGGACATATCCTGATTCTGTTTACAGGTAAGGAGGGACCAAAGTCTGTGCCCTGGAGAGAATGGGGGCATAGAGTTAATCATCAGAAACATGTTTCAGACCAAAGCAAACAAGAAACTCATTCGCTTCCTCTGGAGTTTAATGTCACAATCAGACTTGTTGTTTCCTGATTTTATCTGAAGCTGAAGCCAGGACAACTTTATATTATGTTTATTTCCATCTACTGAATTACAGTTGCCTCCTGCAAAAGACAATGACTACTGAAGAGGAGGAATGTATTCTTGGCCACATGTTCTCTGTGTCTGCATACTCTAAAATGGGAATGAGCAATTTATCTTGAATGTTATTCTGTCTCCTGAACTACTTCTCTCTAAACATTTCCTAAGGGCTTTCATTTAATCAGGGGCCTATTTCCTAGGGTTTTTGTGGGCAAGTGGAACCTAGAGATGGTAAAAACATTTTCTGAAAAATGAACACACAAAAACCTGAATTAAAGAGCCACACTTTAAAATATAAATGTGAATAAATGACATGTGTTTTATGTTATTTATATGAGAATTGTCTTTTCTTAAATTTAATAACAGTAAAGTGACTTTAATATGACAGAAATAATACATACATGGTTGAATTTTTAGGTTTTAATCCCTCATTTATTCCTGTATTGTCTAATCAGAGAATATTGCTTGAATATCTGTATGTGCTAGTCATTGTGCTAGATGCTGGGGGAAGTCAGGACTACCAAGTATTACCCATCAAACATAATTTGATTTAATTTTGTGTTTCAAAACTTTTCACTGAAATTTTTAAAAAGCTTTTTAACAAAATAATGTAATTAGTGGTCATTGGAAAAATGAAAATAGAGAATCATCTGAAGTAAAAAGTAAAGTGCGTCTCCTTTTCTTTAGAGATAGCCTTACAGATAATATGTAGGATATTCTCTTGTTCCAATGTATTTTCTATATGTTTATAATATTTCAGATTTTTTTTAACATAAAAGAAAACATATAAACTCTTCTGGAAAATTTTTCATTACCAATGTTTTGGTGATTTTTTCGTGCTAGCTCATTGTGATTTTCTTGTTTTTAGTGCTAGTATAATATACCATTGTATGAATATACTGGAATTTATTGAACCTGTTCCCTATTGAAGTCCACCTAGGTTTGCTTTGTCTCTGTTGCTGTTGTTTTTTAACTTTTTTTGTTTTTTCCAATTTACACAATACCGCAACGAATTTTTTTGCATATTTATCTTCATACACATTCCTCGAATTGTGGAACTGCTGGTAATATGCATATTTAAGAGATATTATCCTCCAAAAATTTGTATTGAAAATGGTGTATGAGAAGTCTTATTTTTTTCTGTAGGCTTGCCAATATAATTTTATAGTGCCAACCAATAATTTCATATTTGTCAACAAATTGTATTTTTTAAATCTTTGTTTCCTAGGTATATGAGATCATATTTGCATTTCTTTAATCATCAGTGAAGTTAAACATATTTCCATGGGTTATTAGCCATTTGTGGTCTGCAATGCAATTTGCTTGTCATATTTTTAATCTATCTATGTTTTTATTGGATAGTCAATATTTTTCTCATTGGCTTTAAATTTTCTTATTTTTAGTAATAGTCATTTTGAAGATATTTTAACATATTATACAAATAATATACACATAATAAAATGAAAATGTATAGGCTATATAATAAAAATATATGTCACTTGTACCACCCTGTACACCTACCTACAGTCTCCCTAAAAGTTACTACATTTAAAAATAATTCTAAAATATAAGTATTTACTTCCACCTTATGATTAAAAGACTAAATTCTTAGTCTTTTTTAGCTGGAGCTAAAGGTATTATTAAAGTGCCCTTTTCTTAGCACATCCTCTTCTCAATTTTTTTAAATTTATCTTTATTCTAAAAATATTGTTATTTGATTACTTAATTTTGTCAAGTAACAACATTTTATTAACTTTTATTAATTCATTAATTTTTATTTCTTATTCCACTTATATTAGATACTATCTTTTAAACCCCGATATGTAAGAAGAAGAAATTAGCATCCATATACTTTCATCAATCTTATGGCACTTTTATTCTCTCAAAGTCCTGTTTTGTACCTAAGAATTCTATGCTTTCTCTTAGATTTGTCCTAAGAACTGAAAGCCAACCAATATATATGTTATAATATTTTAATTATAAAACTACTATTCAAAGTTGAGCCAATTACACCTATAGATTTGGGAATGTAATACTGTATTTTTAAGCCCATGCCACACAAAGGAGAATGTTGCAAGTCTCAAAATCAAAAAGATTCCTTCTCTCTTTTATTTTTTATTTTATCAACATGACCTCTACTATCTTCCTGAAATTTATCTATGAAGTATTGATATACAATAGTCCCTCTTATCTGCTGTTTCATTTTCTACAGTTTTAGTCATCTATAGTCAAGTCCAATTCTAAAATATTTCATAGAAAATTCCAGAAATAAGTCATAAGTTTTAAATTGCACGCCATTCTAAGTAGTGTGATGAAATCTCACGATGTCCTGCTCCCTCTCACTTGAACATGAATCTTCCCATCTTCCCTCCTTCCAGAGGATCCACGCCCTAGATGTTCCCCACCCTTTAGGTGGTCAGCAGCCATCTTGGTTGTCGGGTCTCTGTTGCAGTTTCTCAGAGCTCGTGTTCAAGTACTTCTTACTTTACTTAATAATGGTCCCAAAGGGCAAGAGTAGTGATGCCAGCAATTTCGATATGCCAAAAAGAAGTCTTAAAGTGCTTCCTTTAAGTGAAAAAGTGAAAGTTATTGATTTAATAAGGAAAAAAAAATCATATGCAGAGGTTGCTAAAATCTATGTAAGAATCAAACTTCTACCTGTAAAGAAGTTTGTGCTAATTTTGCTGTTGTACCTAAAACTGCAAAAGTTACTGCCATAGTATGTGATAAATACTTAATTAAGATGGTAAATACATTAAATTTATGGGTGGAAAATAGGAAAAGAAAATGTGTTCTGACTGATGGCAACGCGATGTACCAGAAAGCATTGAGCCTATATGAAGACTTCAGGAAGGGTATGTATGTATAGGGTGTATAAATACTATGAAACAACATATTAGTCATAGACCTGGGTACTATCTGTGGTTTCAGGCATTCGTTGAGGGTCTTGGAACATATTCCCTGGGGCTACAGGGAGATTGCAGTATTCAGGTTTTCTACTTCTAGTTGAGTTTCTCTTTTGGTAAATTACCTTTAAAAATATTATTTATTTTACTGTGTCTTCAACTTATGAGAATAGAGTTAAACAGAGGAATCCCTTATATAGTCTCCACATCTTTGATTATGCTCTTCTTCACAATTTTTATGTATTTACGTTCTTTTATTTTCTTGATTAAACTAGCTAGTGTTTATTATTCATGTATATATTTCAAAGAACTGTCTTGGATTTATTTTTTAGTTCTATTTTTTCCTGTTTTTTTTTTTTTATTCATTCATCAACTTCTACTTTTGTCTTTATTATCTCTCTAAGGGGGGGGTGCATTTACTGTTGTTTTTCTTACTTTTCGAGTTAATTTGAAATTTTCTATACTCACAGCTAGTATTCCAGATTGATCTACAGACCTAGGAAAAAAGAGTATCCATTGAATCCTGTGTGACATGATAAAGAGTTAATTTTTGGAAGGTTACTTATCAACAGGAAGCTTATGAATAACTTATGAGCACAATGGATACCAATGACTAGAGATACAGGGCATCATTTCATCCAAAACACTTTTCCCACTGAAACGGGGGATGTTGAAAAAGCAAGGCTATGTTAAGAATTCTCACTCTGCTACATGTTTGCCTTCTAAGCTAACTCTTGCCATTCTCCTGCTCTCACTCCTCTGATCTATTGTCTCTGATTTGAAAATTGTTTATTATAATTGTTTATTATTGAACACTTCTTTATAAAAAAAACCCAAAAATATGATATTAGAAATTATTTATAGCTTTGAGTTAAGTCTTAATCTCTTTAGCTATATTAATTAGGAATCTATTAAGAAACATATGGTGTGCCGAAAGTAGGTAATGCAAATAATAAAGGGACTATTTACTGAGGTTTGGAGAACAGGTTGTAAAACGACAAGGAATATTTCAGAAGCTTGGAACTAGTCACAATGAGTTGTGATGCTATGTGCTCTAAGCCTGAGTGGTGAGGGCGGCAGAAGTTTCTGGAACCTAGAGGCAGAGAGAGCTGTGTGGAGAGGTCCAGCTGATAGGAATTGTGCTCTCTAACCAAGAGAAGTAGCCAGCCTGCCTTGGCCTCACAGGGAGGGGGCCAGTGGAATAAATATCCTGACTTCACTTTCTTCCGTCCCTTCAGACTTCTACCAGTGCTTTACATGGTTTGAAACCATTGAGAAGCAAGAGGGTACTAGTACCTGTTTTATGTAATCTATGAGTAAAATGTGGGATCAACAGCAAGGATGAAGAATGGTTATCAAAGGGAAAACACAAAACACAGTACGCTTACCCTCCCAGGTACCACCCATTCTAATTCTCCTCAGAGAGTCTGAGAAATACATACATGCAACTTGTTCAGAGTAACTTCGTGGAGCTCACTTACTACTTGGTGTCTTTGCTAATCACTTTCTTTGTGGACAGGTTTTTTAGTAACATTTAAATTCTTTAATAGATATGGAGCTATTTAGCTATTCTATTATTATAAGTGGATATAAAATATCCAAATAAAATTGTGGATTTACCTAATTATCTCTTTAGTTTGTTTTCACTTCATTTATTTTGAAGCTCTGTTGTTAGAGGTATGAACACTTAAGATTATTGTGCTTTCTTGATTAATTGATTCCATTACCATTATTAAAGTTCTCTCTTTTTTATCTATGGCAATACAAGTCATCTGGAAGTTCTCTGCTTCATTCATGTAAAACTGCTTATGTGGATATTATTAAAGCTATATCATCATTCTTATGCATATTGTTTGTACGGTATAACCTTTTCCACCCTGCTACTTTTAATCTATTTTTGTATTTATATGTAAAATTAAGCTCTTGTAAACTGCCTATGTTGATGTTTGTTTTTAAAATTTATTCTAACAATCTCTCTTTTAATTGGAGTATTTGTTTTATTTTTATTAAGTGTAATTAAAGATATAGATGTGTTTAAGTCTGTCGTCTTTTTGTTTTCTATTTGTCTCATTTGTTTTTGTTCTTCTGTTCTTCCTTTCCTCTCTCCTTTGGTTTAATCAGATATACCTTTTACTATTCCATTCTATCTCCTCTATTGACGTTTTAATTATAAGCCTTACTTACATTTTTAGTGGTTACTCTTGGATTTAAACTACCCATTCTTAATGTATTACTTTCTATTTAGAGATTATGTAATACTTTAAACAAATGCAAGAAACTTATAATAGTATAATTCCATCCTCCATCTTTTAGATTACTTTTATCATGTATTTTGCTTCTAAATATAATATAAATTCCAAATACAATGTCATTATTTTTGCTTTAGGTAATCAGTTTTAAAGAAATTAATGAAAGAAAACTTTCTTTATATTTATAATTTCTGATGTCTTTGCCTTCCTATAAGTTTGAGTCTCCAAAAGGAATCATTTCTTTTCATCTGAAAGAATTATTGATTGATTGATTGATTGATAGTACAGATCTACTGGTGAAGAATTCTTGCATTTTATAATTATCTTAAAATCTCTTTTTCGCCTTTGTTTATGAGGATATTTTTGCTAAATGTAGAATTTGGGGCTAAAAACTTTTTTCTTTTGGCAATTTAAAGATGTTATGTCACTGTCTGCTGACCTCCATTGTTTCTGATATAAATTAAATGTAATCTGAATGATTGCATTATAATGTGTCTTTTTTTTTCTTCTGTATTAAAATCTTGTCTTCATTTTGGGACGTAAGCAGTTTTGGTTATAGTGTGCTAAGTGTGATTTCCTTGTAAGAGTTCACTGAGCTTTTTCGTTGTGTAAGTTGCTTTTTGCCAAATTTGAGAAATTTTCATCTTTCTCTTTCATCTCTATGTCATCTCTTTAGGACTCCAACAAATATTTGCTTCGGAAATAGCAAATATGTTAAAACTATTTAATGTTTTCCTTATAGGTTAGTGAGTCTCTGTTCACTCTTTTTAAACTTTTTATTTTTCTCTGCATTAAGAATGGGCAATGTCTTACTGATTTATCCTCGGGTACACTAACTTTTTTGCTGTTTAGTGTTCAGTCTGATATTGAGCCAAGACAGTTATATTTTCATTTCATTTCAGAAATTTTACTTTTCAATTTTAGAGTTTTTTTTTTTAAAAAACAATTTGCATTTCTCTTTTGATATTCATTATCTTTTCAATCAATTGTTCATCTTTTTCTTTAAGTTCTTGGATGTATTTATAATAGCTGTTTTTGTCCTTGTTGTTGAAAGTCCTTGGCCCTTTCAGGATGCTTTTCTCTTTACTGTTTTTCTTTTTTCATGGTTATATGTCATAGGTTCCTGATTCTATGCTGGACATTGTAGATGATATTTTGAAGGAAGTCTGGATTATGTTGCTTTTCCTGACATAGTTTTACATTTTGTTCTGGTGGGCAGTTAAATTTGTAGTGATTCCAATTATTTTTATCTGACTCAGCCAAGGAAGATATATTTTGGGTTTTACCTTTTGTTCTTGAGTATGGCCCCAATTTAGGGCAAGGTTTCTTACCGCTAAGGCATGGCCTAGCAGGGGTCTCAAATGAATGCTTTATGTGCTCAGGAGGTCTCTCCACTCTATCTGTGCCCAAACAGAGATCTCTCTCAGTACATTGTGACCTTTAGTATCTCTGTTCTGCTCTCAGCTGCATGGCAGGACATGCGCAGCAGGCCTTGCAGAGTCTAGCCTTGTACATGTGCATCCTCACCCTCATTCAAAGAGCCATGGTTAGCCCTCACATAGACTTCTGGCAACCCCGTCGTTGATGTAGCTTCATCCTCTTCAGTATTCGGGTCTACAAATTCCAGCTGCTTCAACAGCCTCAAAATTCAATCTCTGCCTCTTCAGTTCAGTGAGATTACCATCTTCTCTTGAATGTTACTTCCCTGAAGTCTGGTTCAGTGTGTGCCTTAAGTCAGAAAGCCAGGAAATACATGTGACTTACATGTGTTTTTCTTCTCTCAAGAATCATGGTCTTTAAATGCCTCTGGTCCAGTGCCTGAGAACTGTTGCTGTAGAGTTTTTCTCTTTCCATTTTTATAATTATTTATGGAGAGTGGGCAAGTTCAGTACCAATTACCCTCTCAAGGCCAAATGTGAAAGTCTGCCTGCCTGAATGTCTGCCTGCTGGTTGTTGTTTATAGAATGATTTTTTCCAAGCCATTTGTCATTTGCCTACAGAGGCATTTTCTCTTTCTAATCCAGTACAGTCTGTATCATTTCACTTTGTACTTGATGAAAACTCTGTAATATATTGTATTTTTCTCAATGTAGTTCTCACTCTAACTCCTATTTGCTCATCTTCCTAAGACCTGAAGAAAAAATTAAAAATGAACTGATAAGCTACATACTGTTTGATTCTAACTATATGACATTCTCAAAAAGGCAAGACTATGAAGACAATAAAAAGATGGGTAGTTGCCAGTAGTGGTGGTAGGAAGATGAATAGGCAGATCACAAGGGATTTTTAAAGCAGAGAAAATACTCTATAGGACATTATAATGATGGTTATATATCATTATACATTTTTTTCTAAACCCATTTTTCTTAGAATGAGCCTTAAGGTAAACTATAGACTTCAGGTGATTATTATGTGTCAATATAGGTTTATCCTTGGAAAAAAAAATACCATCCTGGTGAGTGATGCAGGTAATGGAGGGGGCTGTGCACGTGTCGGGGTAGGGAGTATATAGGAAATCTTTGGATCTCTCACTCAATTTTGTAAACTTAAAACTGCTCTAAAAATTGTATTAACAATGAACTGATTAATAGTAGTGTTTTAGGACAAAACTATATGATTGATAGTTTTATATGTTCACTTAATATTTTTTCAAGTAGTTAAAGAATTTTAATAACAGAAATATAATTTAAAAAAGTTTTCACTTAGGCTAATTTCTTTACCATGTATTCATTTTATTTACTTGGTGTTATTTATGTTTCAGGAAATAGCATTTTTTTGAAGGTTTAGACTATTAATTCCTATGATCTCTTCTTTTTACCTTCTTAAACAGGAATAGCTGACCCCATTTTTCATCAGTAAATATTTGCCTAGTATGGGAGGCATGTAGTATATGACATAAATGTGTGGGTCTTAGAGCAAGGTTGCCTAGATGTGAATCTCACTTCTAGCATTTAACAACTGTGCAATCTTGAGAAATTATCCTATTCTCTCTAAGCTTCATTTATAAAATAGAGATAATAATTAGACTATCTCTGAGAAAGTATTTTTTAAATATTTTCAATCCATACAAAATTATTTGGCATAATATCTGATATGTAATATGTGTTTAATATAATAAGTATTAATATCTAGTCCTTAAAAGATTGTATTGATTTATTTATTTAAAAAGGGAAACATAAAGAGGCAGTATAGTAAAAAAGAGAACAGTCAGAAACTATCATTTTTATTTCTACCTCTTATTATCTGTGTGACCACAACTAAATCCCTTAAACTCTTCAATCCACATTATCCTATAAAATGAGCAGAAAAGGGCAGCCTTGCCTACCTCACTGTTTGATGCAAGAATCAATTGGGTTAATGTTCCAGGCTTGCAACACACATATGCGTGCACACACACACACATACACACGCGCACATACCCCCCCGAGGAAAAAAACAACTTTACACAATAAGTGAAATACAAACAATTCAATAAGACAATACTTTTGATAAATTATACAAGTTACACATCGAATCCTAATATTCTCCACCAGACAGACTCATCCTACCATAAAGAAAATACAACTGTTTTTTTCCTCAACAGGAAAAAAGGGATGGTCCCCTTTGAACTTCCCTAGTTTCTGCCCGGTGAACCATTACTTTGAGAAGAAAGAGCTGCATATACTTGTCTAAAATTTAATGAGGACTTACTTGTCTCTTAGAAAATTCATTACAAAAAAGTGTATGTTATACATTTAATATATAAATACAATGTATGTGTTTCACATGCATGTGGCAAATGCATGCATAAATGTGTGTTTCTATTTAATGAGCAACACATTCAAAAAAGCAAAATATAATGATAAAGTCCAAACTGGAAACTTAAAGTAAGTAATTGACTCCCATGATACTCTCAATTGCCAAAAAAGTTCTTTCAGGGTATTGCCAGATGCTATGACCTATTGCTAAAAGGACCTTGATTTTCTAGACATGTGCACATGATGCTGATGTTTCAATCCCCTCTCTAGAAAGAAGGATTCTTGGGGTTATAGCTCCATGAGCAGAGCTGGAACACCATTCAGTACCAACTCGACTACATGGGAATCCAATCAGGAGAGAGAAACCACACTAGTAGTTTGAACAAGTAAATGTAATACAAAGAATTGTCAACTAGGTAAAAGTTTAGTTCTAAAAGGGATATAACAGAGCTATCCCTTAAATTGGAGTAGCAACTACAGAAAATAACCACTAGCCCTAGGCCTTAGAAAAAAGTGAACAAGGAAGAAACTCAAATACTTGGCTGATGGGGAGCAGGAAGCACATTTTAAAAGGGTAAACACTGCTGATTTTGGCTTAGGAGTTCTTCCTTATGGTGATTGCTATGAAACATGACAGTCTAGGAGCAATTTTATGTCTGGTAGTTCCCTGAATTCCACCTGAAACTCCTACTTTAGGAGGAAATAAGTAAGCTATTTTCTCTTGAAGTGTCTTTTTTAAAAAAAATCTGAGCAATGAAAACAGACATCAGAGTTACAAACTGTATGCCATAGGGGTCCACTTACTGCAAGATTGATCTTCATATTTCTAATATTCACTGACTGAATGTGGAAAGTTCTAGGCTTCTTTTTCTGCCCTATGTAATGATGCAAATTCCTTTAAATAACTTGCTGCCTTAAAGGGGA